GGGCCCCATGCCTTTTAACCACCTCCCGTCTGGCCACTGTCTAACCACCCTTCTGGCCACTGTATATATATATACATCTGGACAGAAGCAGCACCAATGCGGGTGGACGTACCCATATTTCCTCCCACATTGGCTGCTCTTGTGCACTTTCTAGAACGTGCAGCAGCAGCGGATCATTGTACCAGGCCGCTGTGATCAGAGTTACAGTAGTAAACAAGGCTGTCATTTTCTACCTACTGTGTGATCTCTGTGATTGGTCACAGCAATCACATGGTACCAGGGCAACTACAGCAGCCCTGTACCATGTAATAGCTGTTACCAATTACAGCATCACAGTAGTAAACAAAGTTTCATGACTGAATCCTTGAACAGTCTTACCGATTGCTTATTACAGTGATCATCACTGTAATAAGTGATCACAGTGTAAAAAAATCCTAATCACCTCACTATAGTAACACTGCACTGCTCTGGTGATAGTATGTAAAAATTGTTAAAAACATTTGCCCAATTATAATTTTTATTTATTTATTTTTTACATACTGTCACCAATAAGTGTCCTAAATTACCACCACACTAGTCCCAGTGTCCCTGATCAGTGCCACAAACAGTTGCAGTCTCCCTGATCCCCACTACACCAGTCGCAGTGACCTTGATTACTGCCATACCAGTTACATTGTCTCTGATCACCGCCACAGCACTCAGAGTGTCCCTGATCACCACTACAACAGTCCTAGTGCCCCTGATCACTGCCATACCAATACCAGTATCCCTGATCACTGACACACCAGCACCAGTGTCCCTGATCTCCGCCACACCAGTTACAGTATCCCTGATCATTATTAGATGCATAATTTATGCCCCTAGATAGCCTGAAGGTGCTTCTTTGATTCTCAGCCTCTCTTTGTTGCTAGGCTGTGAAAAAGTCTCACACATATGGTCAGTGGTGTATTTAGGTTTTGTGCTGCCCTAGGCAACACAAAATCGTCTGTCCACATGGACAGCGACCAACACAACCCCCCCCTTCCCCCTCCCGCCAAGAGAGAAATGACATTGACCAACAACACCCCTGCAACACACCTGGGAGAGCCTTCCACTACCCCCCCTCCTCATAGAGACACTTATCTTCACAGCTCTGGATACCCCCGGGAGTGAGAGCCAAGCTCTACATACACCACCAAACAGCCCGCAGCCTCTCTTGGATCCCACCTGATTCCCATGGTGCACATGTCCCTCTGAAAAATGTTGCCCTAGGCAAGTGCCTTGTTTGCCTTGTGGTAAATGCACCCCTGCATATGGTATTGCCATACTCAGGAGGAGTAACAGAATGTTTTTTGGTTGTATTTCTAAGTATACCTGTGCTGTGTGTTAGAAAATCATATTAATTAACAACTTTGTGTAAAAAAATACATGTTCATTTTCTTTCTGGCATTTTCCAAAAACTTGTGGCAAAAAATGATATTATTAGAGATGAGCGAATTATTAAAAAATTTGATTCGGCTGATTCGCCGAATTTGCGGGAGAAATTCGATTCGATGCGAATTTAACTAATTAAAAGGGTTTCTTGGCTTCAGAGAGCCTTTATATTAGTGCAGAACACTGTACCTTTAATTTAAATGCCCTTGGAGTCTGCTGGGGAAGAGAAATAATACTGTCAGTCAGTATGACATGCAGATGAGTGCCGTCGATCTTAGAATCACTGCACACTTCACTCATTTGGGGGAGGAGGAGGAGGGGGAGGGGGAGGAGGAGGAGGAGGAGGAGGAGGAGGAGGGAGGAGGAGGGGGGGAGGGAGGGGGGAGGAGGAGGAGGAGGAGGAGGAGGAGGAGTCCAGTACAGCAAAAAGTGTATCTGCAGAGAGCTCCGCTATTTCTGACAGTTCTCTGACAGTTCCTTCACACTTACAGCGGTTGAAACATTGTATCTGTTTCCGAATAAAAAACATCTGTATCCTAAATGGAAACAAATAGATACAATGTTTCAACCGCTGTAAATGTGAAGGAACTGTCAGAAATAGCGGAGCTCTCTGCAGGGACACTTTTTGCCGGCTGATCGGGAAAAATCCGATTCGTTGCATCCGAAGTTGGCTAATATTTGGATTCGGCACGAATCAAATTTTTCCTGAAATTCAATACGAATTCCACTTCGCCTGGTTCGATTCGCTCATCTCTAGATATTATCAAAAGGCTTAGTATGCCTTTCCGAAAATACCTTGGAGGGTTTGCTTTCTAAGATGGGGTAATTTTTGTGGGTGTTTCTACTATCCTGGTGCTCCAGGGCCTTAGTAAATGTGATAGGTAGTCAGAAAATTAGATGTGCAATTTGTGCCACTAGAATGCCTGAAGATGCTTCTTGAATCTTGGGACCCTTTATAAAGCTAGCCTGTGAAAAAGTCTCACACATGGTAGTAGTATCCCCATACTCAGGAGGTGTAGCAGAGTATGTTTCAGGGTGTCATTGTAAGTATGCCTATGCTGTGTGTGAGAAGTAACTTGTTAAAATGACGACTTTGTGAAAAAAATATTTCACTTAATTTTCCAAAAAAGTGTGAGAAAAAAAATTACGTGTTCCAACCATGTTCATGTTGTCCCAGGTTTAAGTCCAGGCTCCTTCTGGGGGATTCCACTGACTGAGATGGTTGTGTGTGCAGGGAGGGGGTGTCAGGAATGGACTTGCCAGTAATGGTGGGACTCACCTGCCTTGTGGGCTGCAGTACCAGGGCTGGCCAGCGGGTGCTCCCGGCAATCAGAGACTCAACCCTGCAGCCAGCCAAACACCTGAAGCTGATCATGCAGGTGTATTTAAGGGATGGCCAGACCTGCAGTCTCTGCCTTGGTGTGTGTTTTTCCTGGGCCCTGTATCTTGTTACCTGCGTCCCTGTCCCTGTCTGACTGATTCGTTGCTGACCCTGCCTGATCCAGATCTCTGCTGACTTCTCCTGTTTCATCCTTGGCTTGTGACCCCGACCATTCTCTGCCTGACCCCCTGTACCTACCTGCCCGATTGTTATTGACCCGGCCTGCCTGACGACGCTTGCATTGTATGTACTGTTATCTGTGGGGTGGTTTGGTTTGGTTCGTTTGCACTGTGTTATGTTTTAGTATTGCACTGCGTTTATGTTTGTATTGTTAGTCTTTAATAAATTATATTGTTTATAACTTATCTGAAGCCTGCGTTTCCCTGCATCAGTCACATACCTCTGGTCACACCCCGGAGCCCTGACAGGGGGTCTACCATCTGAATGGCATGGAGGTGCCCACTAGAAGGACCTAGCTATGTGTATTGAATGTGCCATCTTTTATTACCAATTGCTATATGGGGATGTCTCTTTGCTATATGGGGCAGCCTCTTTTCTGGATTGGGGTGTCTCTTTGCTGAATATATGGGGTGTCTCTTAGCTGGATTCATCAGTCTTTTTGCTGAATAATATACGGGAATATCTCTTTACTAGATTGGGACTGTCAGGGCTCCGGGGTGTGACCAGAGATATGTGACTGATGCAGGGAAACGCAGGCTTCAGATAAGTTATAAACAATATAATTTATTAAAGACTAACAATACAAACATAAACGCAGTGCAATACTAAAACATAACACAGTGCAACCAAACCAAACCACCCACAGATAACAGTACATACAATGCAAGCGTCGTCAGGCAGGCCGGGTCAATAACAATCGGGCAGGTAGGTACAGGGGGTCAGGCAGAGAATGCTCGGGGTCACAAGCCAGGGATGAAACAGGAGAAGTCAGCAGAGGTCCGGATCAGGCAGGGTCAGCAACGAATGAGACAGAGACAGGAACAGGGATGCAGGAACAAGATACAGGGCCCAGGAAAAACACACACCAAGGCAGAGACTGCAGGTCTGGCCATCCCTTAAATACACCTGCATAATCAACTGCAGGTGTTTTGGCTGGCTGCAGGGTTGAGTCTCTGATTGCTGGGAGCACCCGCTGGCCAGCCCTGGTACTGCAGCCCACAAGGCAGGTGAGTCCCACCATTACTGGCAAGTCCATTCCTGACAGTACCCCCCCCTCAAGGAGCGGCCTCAGGACGCTCCAAACAGTCCTAGCTGGGCAAAATGTTCCACCGCCCGGGTCTGGTAACTGGCGGGATATCAAAGACTGGCACATCGGGCAGGACTCCGGGGCAGAGGCACATCGGGCAGGACTTAGCTCCGGGGCAGCGGCACACCGGGCCGGACTTTCCGGGCAGAGGCACACCGGGCCGGACTCCGGGCAGAGGCACATCGGGCAGGACATCTCGGGCAGAGGCACATCGGGCAGGACTCCGGGCAGAGGCACATCGGGCAGGACTCCGGGCAGAGGCACATCGGGCAGGACTCCGGGCAGAGGCACATCGGGCAGGACTCCGGGAGGCACATCGGGCTGCAGAGGCACATCGGGCTGGACACCGGGCAGAGGCACATCGGGGCTGGACTCCGGGCAGAGGCACATCGAGCTGGACTCCGGGCAGAGGCACATCGAGCTGGACTCCGGGCAGAGGCACATCGAGCTGGACTCCGGGCAGAGGCACATCGAGCTGGACTCCGGGCAGAGAGGCACATCGAGCTGGACACCGGGCCACCAGGCGGAGCAGCAGGCACCGGGCCACCAGGTGGAGCAGCAGGCACCGGGCCACCAGGTGGAGGGCGACATGCATCGGGCCCCCCAGGAGGGGTGACAGGCATCGGGCCCCCAGGAGGGGTGACAGGCATCGGGCCCCCAGGAGGGGTGACAGGCATCGGGCCCCCAGGAGGGACGGCGGGCCCCCAGGTGGAGCGGCGGGCCCCCAGGAGGGGCGACAGGCATCGGGGCCCCCCGGGTGGAGCGACGGGCATCGGGCCCCCAGGCGGGGCGGCGGCGGGCGCCAGGGCCCCCCAGGCGGAGCGGCGGGCGCCGGGCCCCCCCAGGAGGGGGGCGGGCGCCGGGCCCCCAGGAGGGGCAGCTGGCACCGGGCCCCCAGGCGGAGCGGCGGGGCGCCGGGCCCCCAGGAGGGGCGGCGGGCGCCGGGCCCCCAGGCGGAGCGCTGGGCCCCCAGGCGGAGCGCGGGCGGCGGGCCCCCAGGCGGGGCGGTGGGCCCCCAGGCAGAGCGGGGCGGCCGCCGGGCGCCCAAGGAGGGGCGGCGGGCGCTGGGCCCCCAGGAGGGGCGACGGGCCCCCAGGCGGAGCGGCGGGCGCCAGGCCCCCAGGCGGAGCTTACAACATCTGGATCGTCTGGATCGAGAGCGGCACCGGGTCATCTGGCGTTGGATCGTCTGGCTCGACAGCGGGCATCGGGTCATCAGGCACGACAACGGGCATCGGGTCACCAGGCATCAGGTCATTTGGCTCGCCAGCGGGCACCGCGTCTTCTGGCAAGGCAGGCAGGGGGCACCGAGTCACCAGGCACGACAGTGGGTTCCGAGTCAATTGGCATGACCACGGGCACTGGGTCAGACATTGGATCGTCTGGCTCGACAGCGGGCATCGGGTCACCAGGCATCAGGTCATTTGGCTCGACAGTGGGCAACCGCGTCATCTGGCAAGGCAGTGGGCACCGAGTCACCAGGCACGACAGTGGGTTCCGAGTCAACTGGCATGACCACGGGCACTGGGTCAGACATTGGATCGTCTGGCTCGACAGCGGGCATCGGGTCACCAGGCATCAGGTCATTTGGCTCGACAGCGGGCACCGCGTCTTCTGGCAAGGCAGTGGGCACCGAGTCACCAGGCACGACAGTGGGTTCCGAGTCAATTGGCAATGACCACGGGCACTGGGTCAGACATTGGATCGTCTGGCTCGACAGCGGGCATCGGGTCACCAGGCATCAGGTCATTTGGCTCGACAGTGGGCACCGCGTCATCTGGCAAGGCAGTGGGCACCGAGTCACCAGGCACGACAGTGGGTTCCGAGTCAACTGGCATGAACACGGGCACTGGGTCAGACATTGGATCGTCGTCTGGCTCGACAGCGGGCATCGGGTCACCAGGCACCTCAGGTAGGTCATTTGGCTCGACAGCGGGCACCGCGTCAATCTGGCAAGGCAGTGTGGCACCGAGTCACCAGGCACGACAGTGGGCTCTGAGTCAATTGGCACGACAGCGGGCACCGGGTCATCAGTACCGGATCATCGTTGGATCGACAGCGGGCACCGGGGTCATCTGGCGTTGGATCGTCTGGCTCGACAGCGGGCATCGGGTCACCAGGCAAGACAGCAGGCACTGGGTCACCAGGCATCAGGTCATTTGGCTCGCCAGCGGGCACCACGTCATCTGGCAAGGCAGTGGGCACCGAGTCACCAGGCACGACAGTGGGCTCCGAGAGTCAACTGGCATGACCGCGGGCACTGGGTCAGACATTGGATCGTCTGGCCCGACAGCGGGCATCGGGTCACCAGGCATGACAGCGGGCACTGGGGTCATCAGGCATGGATTGTCTGGCACGACAGCGGGCATCGGGTCACCAGGTATGACAGCGGGCACTGGGTCACCAGGCATCAGGTCATTTGGCTCGCCAGCGGGCACCGCGTCATCTGGCAAGGCAGTGGACACCGAGTCACCAGGCACGACAGTGGGGCTCCGAGCCAACTGGCTGTGACCGCGGGCACTGGGTCAGACATTGGATCGTCTGGCCCGACAGCGGGCATCGGGTCACCAGGCACTATGACAGCGGGCACTGGGTCATCAGGCATTGGATCGTCTGGCTCGACAGCGGTGGCATCGGGTCACCAGGTAGGACAGTGGGCTCCGAGTCACCAGGCATGACTGCGGGCACTGGGTCAGACATTGGATCGTCTGGCTCGACAGCGGGGCATCGGGTCACCAGGCATGACAGTGGGCACCGGGTCATCAGGTACCGGATCGTCTGGCTCGACAGCGGGCACTGGGTCATCAGGCGTGATAGGATCATCAGGCTGGATCAGTTCATCAGGCTGGGTACAAGCATCAGGCTGGGTACAGGTATCAGGCTGAAGTGCGGGTGCCGAGGGCACCAGGCTGAACCACGGAAGGCAGGTTCTCAGACGGCAGGCTCACCGGTTTGGATACTGGCAGGATGGTACTGGTTGGAAAGAATTTTCCGCTTTTTTCTGGTTTTAACTACTGGGGCACTGCAAGTAAACGCAGGTCTGCAAATGAATGGAGCAGCTGAGGACAGAGAAGAGCTGGAAGACTGGAATAGAGGAGGGAGCAGTTGCTACAGAGGACTTCTTTACAGGGTTAAAGAAAGGATAGGTGCAGCGAGTGGGAGCAGAGGACTGATATGTGGTAGTTAGCAGAGTATACTGGGCAGTCACTGAGGGTGCTGTCGGGGATGCAGGAAGAATGCCTTGAGTGGAGGAATGATGTTGTAAGCTGACTGAGGCTGGGTGCAACAAGTCTGACCATGTCTGTAGTATGGGTTGAACAAAGCTCAGTTTACACAAAGCCTGTCTGGTCAATGACTGCACTGCGTTTATACAATCTCTTAGTACCTGTGGTGAACATGCAGAATAACGCTCCAGAAAGTAATCCACATCATCCTCTAATAACCATACCAGGGGACTCTACCTGGTCGGCACTAAATGGCGGCAAAAAATTCATCCCTGCATTCGGGGGTACCAGATGAAACCAACTCAGCACAAACCTGAATCAATGGCTGCACCTCAGAGAACTCTGTGCCCTGATCTACTAGGCAATGAGCGATCCGTATACATTCTAGCAGTTCATCCCTGGGATACTCCTTCAGAGTTTGATAAGCATACTCTCTGTCATCAAACACTAGCAGAGATAAATACACAACCTCATCAAGATCCATTCTTCCCAGCAACAAGCCAAGATGGCTTCCCTGTGCAGCGCCACTTCTGGTCAGGATTGGCCTTGGTGTAATGTCAGGGCTCCGGGGTGTGACCAGAGGTATGTGACTGATGCAGGGAAACGCAGGCTTCAGATAAGTTATAAACAATATCATTTATTAAAGACTAACAATACAAACATAAACGCAGTGCAATACTAAAACATTACCAAATTAAAAAAGAAAAAAGCGCCACTTACAAAAAACACCAAAGTGTCAGCAGCATATCCCACCCAAAATAAATTTTGGCAATAATCCAAATTAAAAAGGTATGCGCTAATAACAAATTTATACAAAAGTGTATATCATCATCCAAAAAACATTAGTGTTTTAAATAAATTATAGTGTCCAAACATAAATTAGTGTCCAAAAATATATATATCTTCAGTGACTTGAACCAATTGTGAGAAATCCACCACCAAAGGAGATTAAATGAACTCACCAGAGCTAATGGCTGGTCAGATTATAAACCAGCAACAGCGCTTGTGCTCTGGGAGCAATGAACCCGATGTCCAAATAGATATGGTGATGTTTCATAATGTTTTTTGGATGATGATATAAACTTTTGTATAAGTTTGTTATTAGCGCATACCTTTTAATTTGGACAATACTAAAACATAACACAGTGAAACCAAACCACCCACCGATAACAGTACATACAATGCAAGCGTCGTCAGGCAGGCTGGGTCAATAACAATCGGGCAGGTAGGTACAGGGGGTCAGGCAGAGAATGGTCGGGGTCACAAGCCAGGGATAAAACAGGAGAAGTCAGCAGAGGTCCGGATCAGGCAGGGTCAGCAACGAATGAGACAGAGACAGCAACAGGGATGCAGGAACAAGATACAGGGCCCAGGAAAAACACACACACCAAGGCAGAGACTGCAGGTCTGGCCATCCCTTAAAAATACACCTGCATAATCAACTGCAGGTGTTTGGGCTGGCTGCAGGGTTGAGTCTCTGATTGCTGGGAGCACCCCGCTGGCCAGCCCTGGTACTGCAGCCCACAAGGCAGGTGAGTCCCACCATTACTGGCAAGTCCATTCCTGACAGGGACATCTATTTGCTGGATTGGGCAATCTCTTTGCTGAATATATGTGGCAGTCTCTTTGCTGAATATATGGGGATGTCTCTTTACCGGATTGGGTTGTGCCTTTGCTGCATTGGGATGTCTCTATGCTGAATATATGGGTATGTCTCTTTTCTGAATTGGAATGTCCCTTTGTTGAATATATGGGTATGTCTCTTTGTGGAATATATTGGTTTGTGCCTTTGCTGGATTGGAATGTCTGTTTGCTGAATATACAGTATGGGGTGTCTCTTTGCTGGATTGGGCTGTCTCTTTGCTGAATATATGGGGGGTGTCTGTTAGCTGGATTGGACAGTCTCTTTGCTGAATATATGGGTATGTATCTTTTCTGGATTGGGATGTCAATTTAATGAATATTTGGGGATGTCCCTTTGCTGGATTGGAATGTCTGTTCCAATTAGTTAAGGGCTCTTCGACAACAGATCAAAATAGTATTGATTTGATCTTGAAAACAAATTCTAATATAGCTATCTTAAAGTGTTTACAAAAGTTAGAAAAAAATGAAACAAAAAAAATGAAGACTTTATATTAAAGACTTTCTAGACACTTAGGCAATCCTTTAGCATAAAGGATGCTTATGCAAGTGCACTTATGCCATTTTGAGGCTGGTACTGCTGAGCCTGTACTGGGCTCCACCCATCCAGCAGTTTATGAAAGGAAAAAAACAAACCACCACAGTGCACAACAAGACCCAGCAATGGTAATTTGTCCCAGGATAATACAGAGAATAGCAGAATGGAGTAAGTTTAGGGTCCTGCAGCTTCCTATTGACAGGTCCGGGTCAATCTAAACCAAAAGGGATAGGAGTGTGGGAGCCCAATTAAAACTCACAATAGTAGTGTCCCTCCTTTCTCAAACCTGCCCCATACAGTAGCAAGGGATTAATATAGGATCGGAAGCGGTCTGTGTGCAACCAATATCGGGAGTCTACAGTTAATTTCAAAATGCCCTAACTGGAGTACTGTTAACATTCTGGGCTAAACTGAAAAAAGAGAGTGTAGAGAACAAGCAGAAGGATTAATCCTTTGTAGTACAGTATATGCACATGAATAGACTTGTTGATTTTCCCATTCATCTTATCTGGAATACCAGTGCGAAAAAATAAATGGTTAACGAATAGACAATTGACTAATAATAAAATAAAAGACAAAAGGATATATTAAACACCATAGTATCGAGTTGCAACTCTGTACATAAAAATACATAAATTCAATATGTGTATTTCATTAACTTCCCAAAAGTTGTTAGTATGTTAAAAAAAACATGAAATTGATCAACAAATAATTGTTCATGAAATATTAAATCATAGGAATAAAATAACCCTATTTCAAAATGTGTAATATCTCAGTTTACCTATATATTTATAAATAATTTAATTCAATAAAAATATACATACAGTTGTGTGTTCAAAATAATAGCAGTCAGACATCACTAACCTGATCAAATCACTGTTTTTTGGTAGAAATTATATTTCTACATGGCAAATAATTTACTAGTAAGTGTAGTAGAGTAATAGAAATCCAACAGACCCAACAGTCATGACATGCATGCTGCTGATTCTGTGTAATTGAATCACTAATTGAAAGGGGCATGTTCAAAATAATAGCAGTGTGAAGTTCTATTAGTGAGGTCATTCATTCTTTGAAAAAAAGGTGTCAATTATTGCCCTTATTTAAGGAAGGAAGGCAGCAAATGTTGTACATGTGCTTGGTTACAGTGCATTTCTCTCTGAAATTCTGAGGAAAATGGGTTGTTCCAGACATTGTTCAGAAGAACAGGCGTACCTTGATTAAAAAGTTGATTGGAGAGGGAAA